AAACAAAACCAGTCACCTACTACTTGGAGGATAAAAGAAACAAAACTGTGCATGAGAGAAAGGAAATTGTGTAGGGATATGAAGATAAAAGGAACAGCACATTAATCAGCAACATAACTAAAAAACTCCAAGTGTACACAATTGAGCGTTGTTCCCTCTTCCCTTTCTGTTCCTCAATCACCCATTTACCCGATACTCTGAAAAAGAGTCGGCACTCATGGGGAACATTCACTAAATAATAAAGAGATTGCAATATCAGTTCTACAATGCGGAAGCAATTTGAGAAGCAATCATATAGCACAACGCACATCTCCACTAGAACGCACATACAGACGCAGGAATTAATGTTTGCGGTAGTGCTCTGCCTGACCTTGAGGACAACCTTTTTACCTTTGCAAGCAATCTAACCAGATGCAAGCTTTCAGGTTCAGTTTACTGCCCATGATAAAATGGCAAAATTCAAGGGGAAATATGAACCAATCATTGTACATCCCATGTTGCATTCATTCCATAGAGTACAGTGAACGATATTTCCAGATGATTCTTCTGCCAGGTCAGCGCTCAAAGTCAAAATAGCAATTCCACTGCAATTCATCCGCAGGAGTATCCCAGAGCCAACACACCGGGAACAAATTCAGTATGTGTTGTAAAGCCCATGTCTGTATTGCAGGAATTGCCCATTTAACACACCTTCAAAGAGAATCTCAGTCTCCTGAGGTTGGTGAAGGATTCTAGTTTTGGTTTTACTTCTAGGTTTCCTATTGCCTCCTTCCTCTGAGAGGTACCAAAATATTCTGATTACAACCTAGGTATGTGTTTGTCAGACACAAACCTCGTTGACGTTTTCCACGTCAGGTCTGTATCAAACGAGGACAATACTTGCTCTCCCTCACAGCCCTTGCGATGTACTCAAATGCCATATTTGTGTTTCAGAAGTGCAACTGTGAGCTCTGGATATTCACCACCAGCTGCTCCACACACTGAGACAGCTCAGTCTGCTCACTGTTTAAAGGAAAGAAAAAAAAAAAAATCTTGAATTTGAATCATGAGAGGTTAAACGCTAAACCCATAATTGGAGACCTGCTGTCCCCTCTTACAGTTCCCTTCAATTCAAACTAGCATTTCTAAGGCAAGGTTTCACGGCCATCCCACTAGAAATGCAGCACCGTCTGGGTTCAGCACACTTCCTTCAAATCAACCTCAAAATCTAACAAAACAAAACAGAGAATTCAAGTAACGTGAGTGGCAGAGGCAGCGTCATAACAGGGATGGTGCAAAAGGGAATGCCAATCTGGAACCAAACCCCAGAGCTCTGGGTACAAAGGTGCACCTGTAAATGACGCTGCCATGCATAACATCACACCGATCCAGAGAAGGAAGCCTACTTCCAAACTGGCAGCTAAATTGCTACAGCCTAGATGCAGGCTGCCAATTTCTAGCAGTGCTGCAGCAGGAACTAGCCACCTCCATCAAGAAAACTGATTTTCAGTGAACAGTAGTGAGCACTCTGACATCTGTAGCAGAGAGAGCTGTGAGCAAAGCCACAAAGGCTTACCCACAGCAGTTTGCTGGCAAGAAAAAAATCAAGGGAAAAAAAAAAAAAAACATTGAAGAGGTTGGGAATGACAGAAAGACTTCTGGACCAAAAAATTAGATGGAGAAGAGGTTCCCGGTCAGCTGGCTGGACCAGTCTGATTTATCATGCATGCCCAATCTAGCGGGGGATCAGAAGAGAAGTTAAAACGGGAATGAGCAGCGTCCCTTCGTTTGGCACACATTAGCACTTTCAATCTAAGCCCTGGGTGACTCAGGCCTTCCCTAATTCCAGACACCTTCAAGATAAGCCCTGAAAATCCTGCCTGTAAATCCTTTCATGGTGGCATGCCACCAAGCCCATTCCAGTCTTTCAAAACGTCCCATGAGGGCCATATCAGTAAGCCAGGATTTGTCTTTCTGAATCGCACACTACATTGTTTCACACACTATTTCTTTGCCATAAGACTAGTATCAGATGCAATCAAAGAAATTTCCTTCTACTACAGGAAGCACTTCTGTCAGTGAAAACATGTAAGCTCTTGACTCTTTCCACTGCATGGCTTCAAGTTCCACAGCAAACTGCCCTTCTGCTAGCATCACCACATCCCGCACAATCCGTTCCCCAGTGTGATGCTGATTGTCAGTGCTAGAACTGCTGGAGTGCAAAGCCAGGCACTCCACAGGACCAAAAGACAGCATCCGCTTACCCAGTGACCCACCAGCAACACTCTCAACCACTTGTAAGGAAAAAGGATCCTCTCGTACAAGATGGCTGGTACACACATGGAACATGGCCCCTTCCCCATTCCCGAATACAGATACAGAGGAGAGCGGTGTCAGAGGGTGGCAGCACTGACAACGGTGACCAGATGTTCTTGCAAGGGCTTGGTCTTCTATAGAATCTTGCCTAGTGGTCAAGACTTCCTTCTTCTCTGAGACTCCTTTCTTCATCAGAACAGAAGAGAAAGCAGGTACCCCTCAGCACTCTCTGAACCACAGACCATTCCAACAGCAGAGCTGGGTGGAGAACTGCAGCTCGTCCTGCTGTCCGCTCACAGCCCAGGAATACCTTGCTCCACACCATGTCACACCTCAGGCAGGTCATGGCCTCTGCACCTAGCAGAAGTACTGCAAACATTTAGACTGCCAGTGACTGCACCATTCTCTCACCAGAAGAGCCAAACAAGGCTGCATTCCACACCTCTTGGCAAGGCAGCTAACCTGGTAGTTTCCCAAATTTTAACTTTGAGGCTGTCACGTGAGGGGTCCCTTCCCTTTCTGGGAAGGGTCTGATGAAGCTGGATGGCTACGTATAGTCATTTCTGCAGCTCCTGGGACCCCCGTGGGGTTTAGCATGCCAGCTGGACTTCTCAGGAGAGCACAGTGGGTCACAACAGTCAGAGAAGGCAGACCCAAGGCAGGCGAGGTAGCCTAAGCCCTGGGTTCACCACACCTTTGCTCCCCGAACAGCGTAAAGCACTGGGGTGTCTTCCGTCAACCAGCGTTGGAAGAAACTGGACTGTAGGTCACAGATACCGTGGAACGGGAAGACAAGAGACGAGAAAGGGGTTTCCGTGCAATCTTTCTGACTGGCTTCTCCCTCCTTCAGTTCTCACCTGTTGTTGTGCTGTCACTGGCTTTAGGTTTGGATTTAGACTTGAAGGAGAAGCGCTTGATGAGGCGGCGGGAGAAGCTGCCAGTTTTCTTCCTGGTGGCAGAGCTGGTGCTGACGTTGGACAGGTCATCATGCGACTGGCTCAGGCCCGCTTCCTTCTGCTTGCTCCTTCTCCGGAAGATGAGCTTGGTACCGCTCCGAAGAAAGCTAACTGCAGAGACAGAGGAAGCAGAAGGAAAGCACAATGGTATCCTGTCCTGGCAAGTCTCAGTGGCAAACGTGCTTTATTTGTTTGGCCACTCTCAGATGAGTGGTAATCAAAGACCTCACACACCTTGAGCCGTGAAAGCACACAGCAAGTCAGTGAGTCCCAGCTCCCAACCGCAAGGCAAAGTCTACACTCAGGACAGAATGCAACACCAACAAGCTGTTTCACTGAACCCATTGTCACATGTCCCCCGCCACTCTGAACTTCCTTTTGCAACAAGATCCTCACTTCTGTGGAGATGTGGGGAATTGTAATAGAAAGGGGTAAGACTGCCGTGAATGAAAAATGAGTGGGAACATGTGGGTGTGGAGGCACCAGCAGGAACACACAGCACGGAAAAAGCCTCCGACTGGCCCGTGTTAATGGCACCCAGATTAGCTGGTCATCAAGCCCCCAGCACGACTGCCTGCAGTTTCACAAGCCAACCGGATCTGGAGGCAAAAAACAGCAATGGCTCCTGATGACTTACAGAGGTGAGACAGGATGGAGACAGTGCTCACTGTCAACTCCAAAAGGGGACAAAAAGGCATATCCCAAAACCGCACATGATACAATGCCGCAACAGCATTTCCTACAGAGGGGCTTCATTCCTTTTTCTTCCCCCTGCCCACCAGGTGTCTCGGGAGTCTGGGCCGCACACCATTTTGCCTGCTAACATGCAAACAAGGGACCGACACAGTTCAAGTGGTACCAAGCCACAGACTCCAAAACGCTGAAGATTCTCCCAATCCCATTTTCTGAGAAATTGAGATTTTGGGGTGGCTCTTGTTTATGTAAGTTTGTAGCTAGCTGAAACTGTCATGGCTGCAAGCAAAGAAATCCAAGGCATATGGCGTGCCTAACTGACACAGCCCCAGAGAGTCCAGAACAATAGCTCAGTCAGGGCAGACCTGCTGCATTGCTGAAGAAGGGTGTTAACGTGGATATCCGATAGTATTACCACCTGGTCAGAGGTGCCAGCTACTTTGATGCTAACAAAGATGACAATGAAGAAAGAGGGAGTGCATCTAGGCCTGCCCAATCTACTTTGTATGGCATCCCGTTATGTGCCACATGCACTAGAATTCAGGGGAGGAACCATTATTTGCAGGCATGAGTACACATGCCTGATCTGTGCACCCAGAGGCCAGAGAGTCAAAAGGGGCTCTTGGGAACACGCAAGCTGTGAAAGATTCCCATCCAACGGAGCACAGAAATCTTAAGACCCTCAAGTAATCGGACACCTGCAAATAGAGGTGTCCGGGACCATTCCAAAGGAGAGCGCAAGAGAGAGGTGAGCTCTTCTTGGGCTCCGGTGGAGGCCGCTCATCACTAAGCCAAAAGCTGGTAGCAGACCCACACTTTGGCAGGATACTCAGCCATCGCTTCATCCTCAGGCACAACAGAATTAACACAGACGTTAATTACTATCCAGTAGCTTATCCTCACCTTTGTGATCTTTCAAGCTCCTGGTCTCAAGGGCTCCCGTGGAGCCAGTTTCAGACTCAACATCTTCCACTGATGGTCTCTCAGAGATGTCCGATCGCGTCGTCTCATCCAGCTCCTGACTGGCCCTTCGTCCTGACAGTGACGCTTCCAGCAGCTGCGACGATTCGGCAGAATCGTGCACCTGGTCAGCTGCATCTGCCACTACAGGATCCCTGTGTGCTGTGGCCTCCATGGATGCAGCGTAACCCAGAGAAAGTGCCATTTCATCTTGGGCAATAGGTACCTGGAAGGGGTTAAAGAGCAAACAAAAAGGAAGACAGGGCCTGAAAGATCCAATTCATCCCCTCTCTTCCATCCATACCTACGTACGGATGCTCCTGTTCAGCTCATCAGGGCTTTTTTAAAAAGCACAGAGGCACAGTCTCCACTTTTGCGCTGAAATATCCTGGAATGTATCAGATCCCATGGTATTTCGCACCACCTCCCTCGCTCCCATAGGCGAGTCCCCGGATAACTCCTTAGATTCTCCACGAGGCTCCCAACTGGCTGCAACAGCAGCTTCCCTTCTGCCACAGTCCCACTGAACTCTCCACTAGCTGCACTGCAGATCGGCAAAGTACCTTGACACCTGTTGGGAAGCAGCTACAAGCTGCAAGGAAGCAGCAGAATGATTCTACTGTGCAAGTCTTCTATGCTGGGGCATGCCCTCCCATACCGCTCCCTAGAGGAGGGGCTGCTTTCACAAACTCATCCTTAGAAACAACCTCCCAGATTGGAGATGGAGTCCCCAGACTACCAGTTACCTTGGAAACTCCTGAGATGATTAGCGTGCTACGTTTGGTTGGGGTCTTCTTGGCAGGCTTGTTATTTGTCTCGGTTAGCTGCCGGATCGCTGTCTCAGCCACTGGATCCAAGCCATTGGGCGTATGGCTGTCCCCTGAGCACAAGAAGGATACAAACAGCATCCTTTAGCAGAGACAAAAGGTCACTTGCTGACCTCGATGCTTTTAATTGTGCATGAAGGTAGAGAATAGTACTTATTAGACTTGCCTGCATAAACCAAAGGAAGGAAGCTCCACACAGCTCTCAGCTCTTCCAGGCACTTGAAAAGTTTGAGCTCCCGCCAGGCATAGGATCACTACCCCCCCAACACAGACTTCCAAAGACTTCCCAGAGGTTGGGCAGCCTCTGTTGCCAACTGTCAAAACAGCCGCAGAACAGTGCCCTGGAGACAATCAGTCACCCAAGCGTACAGCTAGCAAAGCTCTTTGGGTCCAGGTGGCTTGAGGATGTTCTTATCAAGCAAGAGAACATCCAGAGTCAGGGACTGGAGAGCCAAAGTGGAATTTAACTCCTCTCCCCACTCCACTCAGGCACTTGGACATTCTCTTCCACAGCAAATACAGATGAGTTAAGTCACCCATACAGAGACACGGGCAATGAGCCTTACCAACCCTGTCTCCAAGAAAGGCTAAGGAGCATCGCTGCTCCAGTAAGAACCTCAGGCTTCCAAGCACTTACAGCTACCACTGGGCAAGGCGCTGCGAGGACAGCTGCTCTCCAAAAGCACTGTTGTCTTCTTTTCAGTCACTTCCACCTTGGACGGTGACCTTGATGGTGAATCTTTGTGGTGAAGGAGAGACAGAGACAGATACACAAGAATAGCAGTAAGCAGACACAAAGCTTGGGCAAGTTCACCACCTCATGAAATGGAATTCACACACCGTCAAGCCTGGAGCGACTGGCTCCATGTGGCTTCATAGCAAGGAAATAGTAAGAAGGCTACTGGAGTAAGACACGTGAAGCATCCCTGGCACAAGACCCTGTTCATGCTGCTTCCCGGATCTATCCCATGGAACATCCAGCACCACGTTCACCAGAATCTTGGAACGCGAGCAGCAACAATCGTTATTCAGCAACTTCAACATGCTTTCAGGCCCACATTCAGTATGCAGAGCATGACATCTTTAGCAGCGAAGAAAACTGAGTAAGAGCAGCAAAACGCTTAGCACAACATCATGCAGACGTTCTGCATAAGCAGCAGCATATACAAAATCAGAGTCAGGGCCTCCTGCCACCAAATGATGTCAGAGAGACTCGTCTCTCCCTAAACGCTGTGCTACATCAACTCCCTCCTCCGGGGCTATGTACAATTCTCCAGCCAGCCACAAGAGAAAAAAGGAATAGTGATGACGGTCACATGTCAACCCAGAAGCCAAAACCACGGCCCACCCATCCACCATTTAAGATGCGAGTCAGCAGCAACCACACCATACAATAGCTAGGCAGTTTGGCTACCACCTGAGCGAGTAGCCTTGGCAATATCACAGCCATTTTTTGTGCCCCCATAGCAGCCACCTGTGCAAGATGCCTGTCCCAGGGCAGCCTCACCCAGCTTGCACTCTGCCTTGGGCCGAGACTGAATTGTGGTGACAGTAGTCACAATGGTGCCATCGGGCATGATGGTCCGGTCCATCTCAACCTTCTTGGTGGGGGTGATGCTCGTACGCAGAGATGTGGCATGCTGAGCATTCAGAGATGCAGGACACTCCTGGTACAGCAGCTACAAAGAATAAACCATGAGTCAGGTGAGGCTCCCCTCCTCCCAGTAGGAAAGCCAGGCAATATGGATCACAAAAGCTACTGCTCAGTACTTTTGATACCCCCACAAGCCATCATGCACCTTGGTCTCAACTGACTAAACCTGCCCTTTCTGAATCTCTGAGAAAGCCAGTCTCCTGTAGGCAGCACAGACTCCAACTAGCACCTACATCAGAGTGGCGGTGTGGGCCCAGGCAGTGTGCTTAGCCAGGAGGATACTCACACCCCTCACACTCTATCTCCCTTCCTCCTACTTGCGAGGCCAAGGCACCAAGAAGCCATCCTCCATGTGGTGTCAAGTGAACGGAGGGACACTCAGGAAGTACAAAGCAAGGTGCAAGGTGACACCCCTCCTCAGCCTAGGGGTCTGCCAGTCCCCTGCAGCATGCCTTGGCCTTATCACACTAGTCTCCAGGGTGGGACTCGCATCATCAATGATTCTGAGGAATGCATTCACAGAGCTTATAAAGTCATCAGCCCACCTCCAACATAATAGTAGCTTCAGCTGCCAGTGATTGCCCAGCTCCTGGGGCCAGTAAGCAGGCCTGTCTCCCAGATGGTTGTCTGCCCAAAGAGTCAAGCAAAAGCGTAGCATGTGCCAGCAGCACATCTGTGAGAGAAGGGAAAAACAAAACACACTGCAGAACCTCAGCACCTTAGACCTCTTGCAAACTCCCCCTGCTCTTGGGAAGTAGCCCTATGGGCCAACAAAGCAGATCCCCAAGGCTCCAGCGGCTCCTAGGTTCAAGCGGGGTGGAGTTCATTTTTGGGGGGAGAACTACAGGTTTTGGGAGCCTCCCAGGTACCAGAAAGAAGAGTAAGAGCATGCAGCCACGAACGGACTCAAGAGTTATTTCACACAGTCAAAGGCTCATACAAAGTGGGGTACGAACATCCTTTGCAGAGTTCACAATACATCGCACCAAGACAGAAGACCCACAGACTCAAAGCACAAAGGCCCTTAGGTTCTTTGTCTCGCAGTAACAGAATCCTTTTTATGGCTGCCCGTACTCACTCTCCCCTCTGCCACTGTTCCCCAGCACTTGTAGCTTCAGCTCTTTACTTCTAGGCCCCAACTCCCTGTTGAAACAGAAAGAGACAGGCTGCTATGAGGCAGTCTTTGCAGAACTCCCACAGAGTAAACAACCCCATTGCATATTTTCTCTCCCTCAAACCCACACGCCTGGGCATGCTGCAGAGAAGAGAACTCAAGCTCATGTCCCATGCAGCCATGAGCAGACTCCTAGGGAAGCTGAAAAAGACTGTTTGGAAGGCCAAGAACTCCAGGCCTTCTCCCCTTGCCACTCCCCCACACTCCCACGATCAGCGCTTCTGCCTACCCAGTCAAAACACACAGTGCTCTCCTGGGAGAGCAAGGGACTAGATATGCAGGTTGAAGCTGATCAGCAGAACTGCCTGGCAGCCCAGCACATGGGCAGCACAGATGCACACTGCCTTAAGGTGCAGACTTCACCTCTACTGTGCATCTGTTACTGCACAGTGGTAGTGACACTCAGAGACTGTGCGCCAGCCTGCCTGCGCTGCCCCAGCCAGAAAGAGGGCTGCCACTTACAGAAAGAGCTCCTCCTTCCATTCCATCTCTGCTGCAGCACCAGCACCACCAGCTTTCACTGGCCTCGTGCATTTCTGCTGCAGAGGGCTGTCTAGCTCCGCCACACAGCGTATCTCCCCGACTCCTGCCACGAAAGGAGAGAGAGCACGTGCACACTTGTCAACACAAGGCACATCTTTTCCATTCAAACTCACCCAAAACTTCCACTCCTCTAACCTCACAATCTACGCACTGCCCGCTGGAGATCTGGCAATGCTTTCATGCTTACCTCCCTTCCCCGTGCAGCCCAAGTTCAGCACTTGCAGATTCCGGAGCAACAGCTTAGACCCCAGAGGGCCTCCCATTCTGGATGGGGACTCTCGAGTCACCTTATCACTGGATACCTGAGGAATGACGAGAGCGAGACTGATGCCTTTTCATTCACTCACCAGCAGACAGCGGTGAGACGCACAGCATTAGTCCCTGCGTATCCTAACTAGTTCCTCACACCGACACACAGGAATACCTGAGGAGCTGTCAAGGGAAGCTGCAGGTTTCCAGAGCTGTTAAACTGCAGCAGGTCCACTGTTTTTTCAGATATTATAAAGCAGACAGGGAAAAAGAAAGTCAAGAATGAGCTTGCTGCCTGCTAGAAGGGGAGGAGCAGACGACTAAACACTCTCAGCTCAGTAAAGACTATACTGCTGAGAATCTATCCTGTGCTCACCTGCATTTGCTTCCTGACCTCTCAGTCCAAGTTCCCCTCTATTGCTCCTCTTCAACTAGTCTCTGGACCGTTCCATAACTGCAAACGTTGCCCTGGAGCCCAGAGCAGCAGAGAGACTGCCAAAACATAGATTTGTCTCAGGTAGTCTGGCTTCACCTCAAAGTGGCCAGCGCTCAAAGCTCAGAAACAAGGTACAAACACAGCTGCTCTTCAGAACAATTCTAATTCTTCCTACTGTCCGGGTCACGTACCCCGTTCCTGTGACGATGCAGTCAGGTATGTGGCTGTTGCCCATCCTTAGGGCAAGATTCAACCCTTGGATTCCTGTCTAAGCCTCAGCCCTCCGAAGCACAGCGGGGCACAGTGTTCAAGGCACAAGATAGACAAGGAGAGCCTTACCGCAATGGCCCCTGCAGAGCAGGCCTTCAGATTCACCATCATGGCTGGCTGTGTGCTGACAATGGTATCCTCTATCAGATCCTTTATGGTGGAGGGATCCACTCTTCCTTCATTCTTCTCGCCATAAATCAAAAGGAAACGCAGCACAGTTATAAAGAGGCGGACATGTTTTCTCCTTATACAGCTTGATTCTCCAACTGCCTCTCAAAGCCACCAAGGTTCTGCGCAGCCTCTCTCCCAGGGTCACACTCTTCCTGTATCATGCTATATTTGCTCTCCCCAGCACTTAAAGCTTCTGTGTAACAGCTCCAAGCAAACATAAGCTGCCTAAACAAGACACACTAAGCCTTTACATATGTAGTCTACCCCAATGCAAATTTTAACCATACAGACTTTACGGTTTGCCATGTCCTCGCAACTTTGTGAGATGCCACTGCTGCACTTTCAGGATAGCCACCCAATTCCTACATCTACTCTGAATAAGGCAGCAAGGGTGCCAATAAGAACACCTATTTGGATCAGAGGGCCTGAACTGAACATGCTATGGAAGCACAAGCACATCCATGTTCAGTTTGTTAAACCACTAATACGCATGGGCTCTGCACATGCTAACTTCACAAAACAGACACACACACACACACACACACACACACAGCCAGCTCATCTATGCAGCTCTGGCAAGAATGGTGGGAGCACCTATGTAGACAGAAAGCATTTCTTTGCTATGCATGCTCGCATTGAGATGTCACGTGAAACTCAGACAACAGGCACTGGTACTCCCTTGGCTCTCTTGAGGCTGCGCTATTTTGGTACAGCTGAGCTAGCACTGATGCCAGGGTGAAAGAATCCCTTTCCTTGCCCACAGGGGCCGCAACAGTCTGCTGCCAACCTTTCCCCTCTGCAGTGGCCTTCTTCCTGGCTCAGCGCTGTTTCTGCCCCTCCTGCCCTTCCTCTGTTTGAGTCTGGCCTCCGACCATTTGCTCACCTCACTAGGCTGAAGTCTCGGAAGAACTGACAGATTCAGGTCTGGCCTGTCTTTGAATGTCCATGACACCAGGAGACCCTCGTTCTGTATCTCCTGCAAGTGGATCTCCACCTGGGCCAGAACAAATACACACCATCAGGAACAACCTCTGCTTTCAGGAGATGCTTTGTTCCCCTGCTTCAAATTCAGCCACTAAAAGAGCCCCACAAAAGCGTGACAGTAAGAGACAGAAAGTAAAAACACAAGTAGTCCGGGGGCTGTGGGAAGAACCAGCTGCAGAAGTCTCATAGCTCCATAGCAAGACCTGACTTCCTCACTGCCTCTGGATGCACAGGGACCATCACAGAGAAGAAAGAAAATGTTGTTTCTTTGGCTGAGGGAAAAGCCTGTAGGACACTGAAAAAGAGAAAGTTGGGTACTAATATAGGACATTTGCTGAGCGAGATCAATCAACCATTGCTAAATCTGAGCACGTTCATAAGTTAGCCATACTCCTCCAGGAAAACATTTTTGCATGGAAAACTCATCCAGGTCACGAAGCAGCTTGCAACAACGTACCAAGTTTTATTCCATCCTGTGGTTCAAGTGAAAAATTCCATATCCATACACCTGAAAGGCATCCTTAATACAAGAGCCAGAAACAGAACCACACAGGAAGAGCTCCTGCCCCAATATCTGTAGTAATGACAACAGGGTGAAATTTAACGTTCTTCAGAGAATTTGAAAGATTAACAGCTAGAACATTTACCGTGAACACAGAAGCTCAAGTTAATAGAATCTGAGTTTAAAGTGACAGATTTGGGACACGGTTTCTCTACAAGAAAGATCAACCCAAAACTTCAGCAGGTACAGACAAGGAGACCTAGAAAATTCCAGCAGGTAGAGGAGCAATCTGGCCAGATGTGTCAAAGACCACCTGGCTTCTATAGACCAAGCAAAGATGAAAAGGGACTGCAACTGACAGCTACAAATACATCAGCAGCGGACGAGATAAACACCAGTGAGTGAGAAGAACTTTATAAACAAATGTGGAACATACGCACAAGAACAAACTGATATGAACTGACAAATTCAGGCTGGAAATTTTAATAAAGCTTCTAACGATGAGAGCAGATAGGTCCTAGGAAAACCTTCCAATTGTAATATCTGCAAAAGCATGGGATTGGCCTTCACTACTCTAGAGGTTACTTCTGATCCTGCTGTCTCTTTCTAGCATTACAGAGCAAGCAGTCTCCAAGCAAGATACCATCTCCAGCATTCAAGCCCTTCTTCCTGAGAGGAAAATGAAACTGTGGAGGAGCAAATCCAGCCGGACAGCAACTACGGAGTTACCACCCACTGCAATTTCACAAAGTTTGTTTTCTAAAAAAAGCATTTCCATTATCCAACAAAAAGAAAGAACTGGAACGACGCTCCTGAGAAAGCGTTCGGGAGAGCATTGACAAGATAGTCCTCACCGTGGATTTCTTTTTCACCCCAACAACAATAAAAAATCGTATTTG